TGTACTCTGCAGGACACACCTTGTAATATTCTTTATCGTCTTTTTTAACAGAGTTGCAGATACATATTATATTCACATATGTTGTGAATATACATGAGGGATGCTTTTCAGTATTTGTACAGTATCTCCAAAGTATTAAAGTTTCAATCTAACCATGGTTGTTCTGTGAAACTCTTCTCAGATGATCATATTTGTCTGTTGGTAAACTACAATGGTAAGTGCTTTGTTTTTTAATATTTGACACCGCATATAATAGAGATTGTCTCTGTACTTGTAGTTTTTAATCGGACACTTTATGGAAAAAACTTCTTATTTCTTTTCTGTGAAGGTGAAGAACAAAACAATGCTGGTGAGGCGTCATGAACATTGTGACAAATGCTACGATATCCACTGTCGAGCCCCGGATCAGATCTCCGTCTCGTGCATGGTCATCAAGTGTCAAAAACAATGCAGCGCCTTTTTTCATAAGTGCAAGCAAGAGGAGCATCAGCTCCTCTGTCCCAACGAGACCGTCCCCTGCCTCAATGCTCACTATGGCTGCCCGCTCACCATGCTGCGCCACAGGCTGGCCAAGCACCTGGAGGTCTGTCCCGCCAGCGTGGTGTGCTGCTCGCAGGAGTGGATCCGCTGGCCTGTTTCTGAAACTGACCTGACCTTCTGCAGGAATCTCTCAGAAGACCTTCAACCTGAGCCGCACCTGGATGTTGCTGTGGCTCTGAAGGACCAAGAGCTGCTGTTTCGATCCATAAAAATGAAGAATGTTTTTCCTGAGCTGATGATGGAGGACCCCCAGAATGCTATTTCTGGGGTTAACTGCCCTGCAGAGGAGGCAGCCTGTTCTTCAGATCATGGCGAATTCACAGAAAGAAGCTGCACAAGGAAGGAAGGGGGAGAACTCAGTCAAGAGGAGAGGGCTCTGGCAAAGAGCAGAGACATAGAGAATATTCACAACTTTGGCTCCTGGGAGAAAATATTCACAAAGGAGATGGGAGGATGCAAGGAAACTGTCAAAAACTTGAACAAGAGCGAAGAAAAAGAAAACAAGGAGCGAGAATCATCAAACTGTCAGGGAGAGGCAAGAAACTCACACCTGGACCAGGAGAACACTGCTGTTGCTGCTTCAAGCAGAGATGGTGCAACTGGCCTCGCGCCATGGCAAGACGGGGTCCTGGAGAGGTTAGGTAAAGAAGTCAACGCAGCAGAATATAATATGTATCTGCAGCACAACGGGGCGATGCTGATTACCTTCGGCCAACTTGCAGCTTGCACTCCGAGAGAAAAAGATTTTGTTTACGGGAACCTGGAGCCCATCGAGGTCAGAACTGTCCGCTCATTCAATGTTCCTACCAGCTATCGAGCTAAGCGGGCCCACACGAAGGATCCCATGCACAAAGGCAAGAGCGTACACAGGAGTGTCGACACTGCAGATTTAGGAGTGCCGGTCGAGGAGCTTCCGAAGTGCGAAGAGATTAGCACCACGCTCCTCTGCTCTCTGGAGAAGGAATTGAAAGGACATTTGATCTCAGAGAGTAAGGGGGTGGAAGGTCTTTATGTGGATGTCGGAACACAAACATACAACTTCAGCTCCGCTCCATTCAAAGCGGATGCGTCCCTTGCGGATGTCATGGTAGACAAACCTCACGGCCTTTATGTTCACGTCGAAGCAGAATCTGTCACCAGGAGACACAACAAAACAAACTCAGCCTTCACCTACATGTGTGGCCATTTCTTTCGCCGTGATGAATACCGCTCTCATTTCAAGAATGTGCACTCTGACATACAAGCCTCTCTCAGCGGCTGGCTACAACAGCGCTGCCCCTTAGCATACCTCGGCTGCACTTTCGCCCAGACAAGGTTGCAGCCTGCAGGTCACCAGGCCGCAATTAAATTCCGCCGAGATGTCAGTGCCTTCGTCCTCCAGCCGGTGGTCCCCTCGTCCCTCTGCGAAGGCGGGAAAACCTTGAGCCCTCAGAGAAGCGGTGCACGTAATCTGGATCCGCTGAGCAGGCTGCCCCTGGAGATCCTGCAGCATATCGCTGGTTACCTTGACAGTTTCACGTTATCTCAGCTGTCCCAGGTCTCACAGCTGATGAGAGAGCTTTGCGCCATGTTGTTGCAGGGGAGAGGGATGGTCTCCCTCAAGTGGGAGAAGAAGACGTATTCCCATGGGGGAAACGTCTGGAGATGCAGAAAGAAAGCAAGTATTTCTTTACGTCATGATATTGCTTAAATAATCTGACACAACTCTTTTTCTAGTACTTGAATTATCAAAATCATACATATATTACTCAAAGGTACAGTGTGTAAAAATTTGTGATATCTAGTGTTGAAGTGTCATGTTGCAGCTGAACACCCCTCACCTCACCCTCTCCTTCCAAACATGAACAAGAACCTGTGGTAGCCTTTAACTGTCATAAAAATTTAAAAGGTGTTTAGTTTGTCCAGTCTGGACTAATGTAAAAAACATGGCGGCCTCCGTAGAGAGGGTCCCCTCCATGTAAATATAAAGTATTTAAATATAAAGGACCTTTTCTGAGGTAAAGAAAACTACGATTCATACAATTTAGATGAAACAAACTAGTGAAAACATCATGAGAATTAATTTAAATTACATTAAAATTCTGCCAATAGATCCCTTTCACCTAAATCTTACACACTGGACCTATAATGAGCATTTCCATTCCATCTCACTTAGTGTTTGGATCTCAACCTTGTGCTCAAAGACAAAGTAAACGCAGGCCAAACTTCTTTATTGGTTTCCATTTAGTATCTGGCACCATTGTGTTGACTGTCATTGGAACATTTCAGTCATCCATACAGGGTGACAGCTGCAGCATTGTAAACACTCCAGACTCTCAGTAGTCCTCTCTAAACATATTACACACTAAATCACAGACCTGTTGGAGATTTTCTGTTTTTTTTTAGGAAGTACAGCTGCATGTGAGGAGCAGGATGTTGGTTTCTTTGCTTTGTTGTCAGATACACATTTCTGGTTGCTCATGCTGATTTTGTTCTACAGAATAAAATTCAGTAAACAAAACAGGAATCACTTGAAAAGGCAAAGCCAAAACAAAGGTCAGACAGAATGCATTTTATTTTTCTGTTTTACTATTTATCATTTCTAGAGAGACTTAAATTTACTCTGCATCTGGATCCAGAGCTGAAGAGTGAAAATTATTGTGAAGTGGGAGGTAGTTTCAAGGATTTTATCGCCTTCATTTAATCAGCACATTATAGAAAGACAGGAGGAATTAAAACCTCATTAGTCCACTAAGCTGGACCTTGGCTCCTGTGGCTTAGACCACTGGTCCACAGGGACGCCCGCTGGTCTTGTGGTCTGAGCCTTGCGGATGCGCCTGTAGCTGCCTCAGAGTCTGGAGATGACCTAAATCATGTCAGGTTAAAAATCTAAAATGATCCAGACTGCCACCTCACCTAAGACCATTTAAACACATACTGTTGCTGCATGTAGCTTCATCTAAATCTAAAATATATATTTGAAAGTTGCAGGATTACGTGAGTTACGTGACGTAATGAAGAATTTGGCGGTAATGCACCTTGAAGTTGGTTGCCAACTGCCAATAAACAAAAAAGAAACAACAAAGAAGAATGAAGAGTTGAAGAAGATTGTGGATAAAATAAATACATTTAAAATGTTGTCACTGCTCATGCAAACATGCAGCAAATTTGGTGAAGATTGGATGAAATTAGCCGAGGAACTGGTGAGAAACAGTTGCGCATGGATTTTAAAAAGGCTTTAGACAGGCTGAAATACTTAAACTAATTAATTTGTCTTTTGCTCTTCGGTTAATCTTCCACAATTTATATATTTTTTCCTGATTGTCTGCAGATAAACTAATAAGCAACAGCTTGCGGTGCAGAACGCAACCTCTCGCATGGAGCCAATAAAGGATAAACACAATATAAATGTGTAATTGTGTATTTTTACATTCACTATGTCAGCACTGGCTTTATCATGGGACAAAGAGCGTGCTGATGAGATCAGGGATGTGGAATGGCCTGAGGCGTCGCTGCCAGGAACCACAAGTCAGTTGTGTGATCACTCATGGAAAGACAGGATTTATAAGAGTATGTGGGTGACAGCTGAGTATTTGCTCCTGGACGAAGGACATAATTTGTATAAATTTCGTATGGGTAAATATAGAAATAACACTGTGTGGCCTGACACGTGATGAAAATACAGTGCGATCCAGATTAAAAATACATTCATCCTCGTGGCCATTCAGCAGATCTGATAGATGCCCTGACAGCAGCCTCCTACACCTACTTCAGCTCTGTGTTTTTGTCTCCAGGTTTGGGAGTTCAGCTCTCTGTTTTCCTCTGTGGACAGATGGAGCTTCAGCAGCGCTCCCTCCATGTCAGATCACCTGAAAACCTGCTCCTTCTACCAGAGGGAGGAACGCACTGAGCCGGTGGTTTTAGCCGGCCTGCGAGAGGTCAGAGGCAAACACGGAGAAGTAAAGCATCAGAGATAATGCTCACAGGCCCTGGAGCTCAGTGGGCGGACGGCAGCACGAGAAATGCCAAGTGAAGAATCAGTCAGACGTGATATGTGTGCACCTACAAAACTGCAAAATGGATGAAGCACCCACATATGTAGCTAGTGTATTGAAACAGGAATTCAGAGGCCTGTAGACACATTTATATCTGTGAGGAATTTACTGTTGCATATGCTGCATTTTACTTTTTTCTCTACACACAACTTTTCCTGCAAAAAGGAAAATACTTTACAGTAGATTTATTGAAGTTGTGTCTTTATTAAAAGAGGATTAAACGCCAAATTTAAGTTTAGCAGCAATCCTTGCACTGTTTTACTCTCTTTTGTTCACCACACTGAGCAGAGTAGTGTTGTTGGTTTCACTTTTCTTTATTCTAGTGTTTTAAAGATGTATTTAAAAATAATAATTAAGGGCAACAGATGTTCAAATCTGTTTTTCAACATGACAAGACTGACATCTGCTGGATAAAAGCTGAAGTGCTTCGTCAGTGTGGAATGGTGTCACATTAAACCCAAATGCTGAGCGTGATGTCACGTGTCCCATGTGTCATGTTTGATTAAATGCAACAGCTTTGCCTTGTGATGAGACACCAACAACTTTGTGTTTAAATTAGACTATTGATGAGTGATCTGTGTGTCTTGCTCTCGACCTGATTTATTTCACAGCAGCTCAGTGGAATAAAAAAGGTTGTTCCAAGTTAAAAGTGTTCTATTATTAAGCAAAAAGAAAAAGAAAAAGATGCACATGTGACAGATTGTCTACATCGACGGCATCTCAGAAGCCTCTGGGTTTCGGAGCTGGTTGATCACCTCTGACAGCATTTTGTTGCACAGGGCTGCGTATGGATTTAGAGCCACGGCCTGTTGTCGGGCAAATTCACTTCCGAGTGCAGCTGCTTTCTCAAAGTCTGCTCTGGCTGCGTCATCCTGACGCGCTAATCTTCGTAGAAGGCCTCTCTGCACCAGAGCCTGGCAGGCTGTTCTTCTGGCGCCGCCGCTCAGAGAGACGGCTTGGTCCAAGTCCTCCAGGGCGCCTGAGAGGAGAGAGGAGGAAAGCTCTGTGAGGCACCAACATGCACCTGGAGAGTTGATTCTTTCATTTGAAAAGTTTTACAGGCTTCACCCTCTCTCCTAAAGTTGGTCGACTGACTGACATGACATGACTTTACCTCAGAGTAAAGAGGCTGACATCACTTTATATTACTTTGTCGACATGTGTTGCAATGTACGTTGTAAAATAAAACAAACATATGCAGTAATTGTAATATTAAAACTGAATATAATCTAAAAAACGAATGCTTTTAATGTACAACAGATTCAAACGTAGTAGTAATCTATGTACCTGTACTATTTTCAAGACATAAAGACTGGCAGATTAACAAAATACTATTCTGCTGTTCAATAAAGGCAGCGATTCAGCATGTGTGCAGGTCATTTTACATTTTTCTGCATATCTAAACGGGCACTCAGTAGAGTTCATACCTTAGTCCCTTATGAAACCACATTTAAAGGTTCAGTGTGTAAGATTTAGGTGTTGGCACATATTTAATGTAGAATAATCCTCATGATGTTTTCACTAGTTTGTTTCATCTAAATTGTATGAATTGTAGTTTTCTTCACTCCAGAAAAGGTCCTTTATATTTAGATACTTTATATTTACATGGAGGGGGTCCTCTCTATGGAGGCCGCCATGTTTTTTACATTAGTCCAGACTGGGCAAACTAAACACCTTTTGAGTTTTTATGACAACTGAAGCTACCACAGGTTCTTTTTCATGTTTGGAAGGAGAGGGTGAGGTGAGGGGTGTTCAGCTGCAACATGAAATTCCAACACTAGAATAAACATTTGGATGTTGTGACTTTAAAGGTAAAGTGTGTAGAAATGTGTGATAGCCTAACCAGAATTGAACGGGTTCTATATTGGGTCATGTCCCACCCCCTCCGCAATTTTTGCGCAATCCTGCTAACTGACAAACACACAAAGGCAGATGACAACATAACCTCCTTAGTGGAGGTAACAAATGTTCTTATTGAGAGATGTCCAGACAATGTTGTCACCAGGTTACTAGCGAATGGTAAACAAACCCAACCTAAAGATAGCAGCTCTAGTTTTAGAAACACGCCGTAAGAAGATGTTGCAGTGGTTCTAACATAAGAATCAGCTGTGATGATGACATTGTAATTTTTTGAAATCGCATTACTTTGCAGGAGATATTTTAAATTGATTTAAAGGTTCAGTGTGTAAGATTTAGGTGAAAAAATTCTAATGGCACAAATTGATTATAAAATAACCCTAGTGATGTTTTAAATAGTGTGTTTCATCAAAATTGTATTAATTGTTGTTTTCTATACTCTAGAAGGGGCCCTTTGTATTTAAATACTTCATATTTACATCAAGAGGGTCCTCTCTACGGAGGCCGCCATGTTTTTTACATTAGTCCAGACAGGAAAACTAAACACCTTTTGAATTTTTATTACAACTGAAGGTTTCTCCAGAGAATTCTTACACTTTGACATGATTCTGTGTCAATTCTATTCCTTCATTGCAACTAACTCTGCTGTGCTGACCATATGTGGTATGTAGGAAACAAGCAGCTCGGGGCCTACGCAGTAACACTGCACTAGAGACACAAAGCTCTAATATGGAGTCATGCTGGCCCTCTGCTATGTCTGCACATATGGAAAGAGCTGTTATTGACTGTGTGGCATGTGTACCTGCTGTGTTGCCCTGCAGCCTCAGGGCCTGTGCCCGGTTGTTGTAGGCTGAGGCTCGCTCCGGCAGGATCTGGATTGCCTGGCTGAACAGTTGAAGTGCAGCTTGCAAATCCCCAGCCTCCGCGGCCGAGACGCCCCGCATCTCCAACTCTTTCACTTGCTCCAGCAACTCCGTGTCAAAGCCACTCTCTGGCAGGGCGAGATAAACAGGTTGAAAACTACTCAAATTCAATTGACAGCTAGCGTGGCAAAGGAAACAGAAATGTCACCCAGAACTCATCTTGGATTAAAATGTTGTTTTCTTATTCTAGAAATGGAATACGTCTCAAATAAATCCAATATGCTATGAAATGATAAAAACACAAAGCTGTGAGATGATATGAGACACATCAAGCCAGACGCTCACCATCATCAATTAACTCCTCGTCTTGGTTGAGGCCAGGGACGTCTCCGAAGGGGGTGTTGGGGTTGAATATGGCCTGAAGAACAGCTCGGTCATGTGCTGAGGCCATTTCACCAGTGTCTGTGGGGAAAGCAGAGAAAAATGGCAAAAAAGAGGAAACTCATGAGACTTAAATTACAGCTGGGGGGAGAATTCCTCCTCTGTTTCCACCAGCCAATCAAACTGGGGGGCGTAAGCAGAAGTGGACTTTGTAACATCTGTGTTTTATTCAGTGAAAACTTCAGGCCAGGGATGAGTGCAGGCTGCTCTGCTGCTGTTAGAATGATAGAGTGAACATGGGATTATTCAATCTGATGATTTCTGCTCCGTGCAAAGTGATTAAAGGTTTTTATGATGCTGCTTAAACCTCAGGAGATTTATTTTACACTAAAAAGCACTGTGCTGGAAGAAGAATTAACATGTTGAAGAAGTAGGGGAAGTTTTTAAAGGACAAAACCGATCTGATGTTGAAAGAGCCCCTGCAATATCAATTTTACTATGAAATACTTTATTCCAAGTAAAGGCCTGTAATTAAATATATAGCAAGTAAGTAAAAGTACACAGGCATTAACACGAACGTGTACTTTAAATAGCTTACAGTACATGTTTTATTATTTGCTTAACTGACATAATGAAACAATGTTTCGTGAGATTTCTTATTTATTGTAATTTGATGTAATAATATACTAATTTGATGTGTATTTATGCATAATCTTATATTAATATTATCATTATTTATATTGTTATTATTATAATAATTGTTATTAACATTTTTACTATGATTACAACCCTGAACTATTTCTCAGTGTTGTTGTTAGATGTGCTGTACGGCTGTCTGTGTTGTTTTTCAAATACATGTTGTGCTGACTGCAGTGTTTTGTATATAGTTTTTATTGATTTAATCATTATAAATGCATTAAAACATTGAAGTAAAAGCAACAGTTTAATTCTAACAGTAACTGTCTTGGTGGAACTGTGTCACCATTCCTCTCTTTGTTTTTGCCAGTCCCTGTGAGCTGCAATTCTCCATCTGCCCACCAGATGTCCTCAGACTTTCCTACCATTGAGTCACCTGACTCACCTGTCTCTCATTGTCCAATCAGCACACACTATATTTACTGCAGTCATGTCCCCCACCAATCATTGGTTTGTTTGTTGAATCACTGAAGTTCAACATGGTGTGAATTGTGTTTTCCTGCCTCCTGTATCTGTCTGTAAGCATCAGCTCACCCCCCTGCTCCAGTTATACTGTGAAGTAGTTTAATCTTACTGATATATCACATACCTATTACCATATGCAGTATTTTCAGTGTATTTCTGTCTTATGTGTTTATGTCTTGATATAAGAAGTTTAATGATCCTGTTGCAGGAGACATCCAGGTGACATGGGACCTGTCCTCTGCTGTGACTGCTGGTCTGGAGGAGGAACGTTTGACCTGATGTAGGATCATCTCTTTTAAAAGTAAGAACTTGTTCTTCATGAGCTGCTCGCTGTGTGACGCTGTTTGATGACGTGATGTTTGGAGAGTTTCCTGCTTGGCCTTGTTGCAGAAGTTTGGGATATTTCCTTCTTATCACGTGTCCATGTGTCTGTGACTTTGTTTGCATTTATTCCGGTTTAAGTTTTCAAATTAATTTTGTTGGGTTTCATTGCAGTAGTGTGATTGGTGTTTGACATGTCTGCAACATGTATTCGGATAGAGAAACATGCGGCCGGTTCACTACCCTGCAGCCATTTTGTACCCGGGCCTTGTGTATAGGTCTGTGGCAATTACTGTTTATAAAACTGGGCGACGCCATACAGGTGTCATCATTTTGCACTTTTGACTTCATTTAGTTGTGATATGTGATGAGTGCTCGACCATTCTTACGTCATCATCACGTCTTTCATAGCATCAGTAAGTAAGTAAAACCAAACTTAGCAGAAAAATGAACCCCTGACAGTGTGATGAGAATTACCGAAAATAAGAGAAACCATCATATTTTGACTTTTCAGTCTGGTCCTTGTACCATTAAATAACATGGAGGAGGCAGTGGTTTTGACCTGTACTGCAGCCAGCCACCAGGGTGTGATCTTGATGTTGTGGCTTCACTTTAAGGAAGCTGACATGTTGTCCACCTTCATACACAGTCTATGCTCTAGCTTGTGTTATTTAAATACAATTTAGCCTTAAACAGTGGTTATATACAGATTTATTGAAACATTGAACCTCTTCAGATAAAGCTATTCTATTCTTACAATTTGCAGTAAACCTATAAAACAAGTATTTAGAGACAGGATTGAATAAAACGATAGATTATGTCTCTGTGCAGTTCCTCTCTTTGCTTCTTTTTCTGTGTGAAAGTGTTTGATCGCTTCATCTCTTGAGGCCTGAAAAATTATTCAAATGAAACCATTTGAGGAGGGGAATAAAAATCCCTCTCTGGCTAAACTGCTCACATCTCATGCTGTGATGAGAGACCTCACTTGGATTATTCGCAAACCAAAACAGTTTGGTAACACAGCATGGTTTGAAAATCGTAGTGTTTTACTTCTACAGACGTTGAAGTTCTCTGGTGTAAACGGCCGTAGACCCAGTTACTCTAGAGTGCAAACAGTGTTTTGTTGTGTTTGTGTTTTTACAGAAGAGAAAACCTTTTTATTGCATATCTATATTCATGCTGTACATGTTTTATTTTTTTCCACGTTTAGATTTATCATATTTTGTTAATCCAGACCTGCTGTTGTTTAAAATTTGTTGCATTAATTAAAATTCCGAATATGCAAGGAGTTGTTTGGTAGGACTGGAACAGAAATTAGTGATTGTTATGTCTGGTGGTGGTTAGTCTTTCTATGTGGAGTTTGCATGTTCTCCCCATGTCTGCATTGTTGTTTGTCTGTGTAATTCAGCTTCCCCCTGCAATCCAAAAGCATGAAGACGGGGATTAGGTACATTTGATACTCTAAATTGTTTGTTTGTCTCTGTATGTTGGACCTACCTTAGCTTCACGTCCAGATTGTACCCCGCCCCTCACCCAATGTCAGCCCCCCCACGACCCGCTAACCAGAAGGTCGGCTGTTTGATCCCTGTCTCATCCATTCCCCATTTTCCCCCATTTTGCCTGACAACTGTGCATGAAAGAGAGAAGGGCTGCACATAGATGCACTGTATGAGTGTGTGTGTGTGTGGGTGAATGGCAAAACAGTCATCAAGACTATGGTAAATGGTCTATATAAATAATATATAACCATTTACCATAATGGAGGATGGATGTTTCTGTAAATTTGAATTTTAATGGTATTTTAATGGAATATAACACACAGAATAATAAGAAAGGAATCTCTGCATCCACCAAATGGTTAAGTTACAGTGTTGGAACGAAGAGCAGTGTCTCCACAGCGAGAGGTGTTGTTGCTCTTATCAAACAATAGATAACAGATGAGGGTAACAACAGATATCACCGTGATGGGAACCTGATACACAGTAAGTGATATGAATACAGAGCGAGTTTGATCAGGAAACATCGAGACACGGTGGTTTACTGTCGCAGCTCTCTCCGGCCTTGAAAAGAAACTGCAAGTATCACCAGCAAATGTGTGGAACATAAAAACCATCTAAACACAATGTGTAGCTGAGATGATGTGATTCATCCACACTGGAGATTAAGATTTCATGATCATTTAGTTCAAGTTCCTGCTTAATTATTTTTATTAGACATCCTGTAGGTTTCAAGGTATAAGGTGTACATAATTTAAAGATCATGCAGGTATTAATCAGACACTTAATACCTTCTCCGCTTAACAAAGTTCCCACTAACAGAGTTCTTAGCATAGTGTTAATGTGATGCCGTCACGTGCTGATAATGCAGACACTTTCCAAGAGAGAGGTAAAAGATTTATTCAGCATAAGATGTGAGGCAAAGGAAAATCTTTTGAAGTGTGAGTCAGGCAACGGACCGTCTGAAGTCAGAGATCCCTCCATGATAAAAGCTGCCGTACACACGGAGATGTGCAGTGTGACTGGAGATTTCTCAATGAAGCAAACTGATTAGAAGGAAGTCAATGAAGTCTCCCCCAAATTAAACTGCTAATTAGGTGGCAAAGTCAGATTTAAAAAAAATGGATCAGAAAGAAATGAGTAACAGGGACATTTTTTTATTTTTTACTGAGTCACCAAAGATCCCAGAACTTGAGGTCACGTCTATACGCGTCTATATAACTTGTTTGTTCTCTCACAATATTGGCAAAAATGCAATGCACTTCCTGCGATGTGCATGGCATTTAAGAATGTGCACTTTAAACACGAGCAGTCTCTGTTTGCATTTTCCATCTCTGAATTTCCTTCAATTTTCATCAAGCAAGTTGGATAAAGGAACGAGTTCTCCCGATGTTGTGTTGAATTACATTAATGCAACAGCACAAGCAAACGATAACAGCATTTAAACATCAGCTATTGAACAGATCACACCATTAACATTCATATGACAATAAAATCAGGCAATACTTCTAAAGTGGTATTTTGAATTTACTACAGCTGAATTATACTTCATGCACAGTCTTGTTTTTAAATTAAACTAATCAATTCTTTCCACTATCGATTAACCTTCTGCTAACAAACTAAATGAATCATTTCAGCACTTTATTCGCTTTGTGATCCACTTCCATTTCTTCAATTGTGCGTTGAATTTCATTCAAAGTAAAATTGTCAAAATAAAAATGCTGAATAAGTTCCCAGCTGTGGTAAAATTTCCTTCATCAATTTAAGTGTTTTAAAAATGCTCCACTTGTTCTGCACTTTATGTGAATCCAACACTTCAGAGACTAATTTTGGAAGAAAATTATAAGCCGTAACAGCACCTGCTCGACTAATGCGGCAGGTTTTAAGCATCTAATTTAAACATCCCCTGCTGCACCGCTGCAGCTCGATTCTGTGGCCATCCTGACACTTAATTTAGCCATGAGAAGCAAATCTGATCTGGAAAACTACACTGTCTAAGGTTTTAATTGCCTTTTTCAAACCCCCTTGCAGTAATTTATTTGCCTGAATGATAACAATCCAAGAGGATTTAAAAAAGCTTCTTGATTGCTGGGCCAAAGAGAAGTTTTCTCTCTTGCCACTTGAGAGAGC